TCTATATAAAATAATATGTGTGAATATATTTATTTTTTCACCTTATTAATATTTCTATAGGGGAGTATACACTATTTTTTTATGAGTTAAATTATTTATTACATATATTTTATAATAAATATACACGCGAGCTTCTTTTTTCATATCTGTGTGCCTCCACATTATCAAAAATTTTAATTATAAAATCACACTTCTATTCCCCTCCCTAAATAAAGATATGATATATCCAGAGGCTAATTGGTGTCTTTTTATAAAAATAAAATCCACAGAGAGCCTTTTCCCTTTTCCTTTTCTCTCTCTCTCTCTCTCTCTCTCTCTCATATATATATATATATATATATATATATATATATATATATATATATATATATATATATATATATATATATATATATTCTTGTGAACCTACGCATTATAAACTCAAAAATCTTCTTATTTCATTCAATTTTTGCATATTATAAAATTATAAAAAAATTATCCGTTATTTTTTTATCATATATATATTCTCATTATCATAAAAACTCTTATAGAAAAAGAATAAAATTATATATCGATAATTAAAGTTTTGGTAATTATGCATTTTTGAAAATAGTGAAAATATTTAAATCTTGAGTATTTTTTGCCCCAAATACAAATACACCCAAAGAACCTTATTATTACAAATGTTCACCTTGCAGAAGATGGCCAAATTTATATATTATTTGTTGATTTTTTGTCAATTATAGTTTTTTTTAACATGATAATTGCTCCAATCTTGATTATTTTTTCAATCAAAACATGCCTAAAGAATCTCATATGTCAAAAGATCTTCCCTGCAAAAATACACAAAATTAGATATTATTTAATAAAGTCTGATCAGTTAATTACAATAATTTTAAAAAAGTTAGTGTAACTATTCATTCTTAATTTTTTTCGCAAAATATATCCAAAGAACCTTATCACATATCCCCAAATTATCAGATTCAGATATCTTTTAATAGATTTGGGTTAAATATAAGATTTCAAGAAATATGTTTCGACATATGGTTAATTTACCTTTTTTATTTTAATATTAAAAAAAAGTATATTATTCCTAGCATCCACCCCTTAGATTTTAATGTCAACAAGTATATTATTCCTAATGAGGCTCGCACGTAGTTATGGTCACGAGTGATGGGTGGCTTGTGTTGGCACACATGCTTTTGCACTTCCATTCATGTGACCTCGCAAGTAGCCGCGTCAACTCGCGGGTGAGTCTTTGGTCGATGGACCATAAGGTTCATTTTTGTGCAGTGTTTGTTATTAATGTCGCGATCTGTACCGTAGGATCGTAGGGACAAGCGATTCTACGGTCCAAATCAAAGCTACGAGCCGACCCGTTGTGGAGTCGGATGCATACCGAGGCACGAGTCGAGATCGAGTTTCCCGAGTCGACTCGAGTTTACTAGCTATAAATTACAGAGTCGTCGAAAACGATGATTTCCCGAAAGTCCGACCCGAACGGCGTGCCCTAGCGAAGCAAGCCAAGGCCCCCGCCGCCGACGAGATCCGTCAATCCGGTCATTGCCCACCGCCTTCCGGTGCTCTTGACTGGCCTTTAACGTCCAACGGCCTCCCTTGGTTATTCTTAAGTCTCTGCTGTCGTCTCTGCCTCCGTTGCCGTTGCCCCCGTCGAGATCCGGCCGTTGAAGCCCAGCCGCCTCCCTCTGGTACGATCTTCTCATTGCTTCTCCCCTTCGACCACGACTCTCTCCTTTTTCTGGGATGGCCTCCCTCCGCCATCTAACTGCAGACTCCTTTCTCATCCTCACTTACCGCCCCTTCGTTTGAGGGGCGATGGTCGCTGTGAGCAATCGACCATCTGTCGCGTTAAATTGGAATTTTTATTACGTTGATCATTCTTTTTCTGTATATTTGATGTTGTATGTGTTCAATTTTTGTGAATATTAAGGTTTGCCCTTTTGTTCAATTGTTCTGTGGAACGAGGGTCAAGACCCTGCTTTTGCGTTAGTTTATAGGCTTTGAGAGGGTATCATGGTTATAGTTAGTGAAATAACCCCAAGAAACTGCCAAACAGCCTTCAAGAGACATTTCTTGAATGATGTTATTGGTAATGGAGTATAAGCAAAATCTTTTGGGGTGGCTTCTTATAAATGTTGGTGAGTTAAGTTGTTTCTGTCGTCTGTCTATCGTAGGGATTATATTTGATAAAGGCACGAGAGGACGGAGATTGGTAGTGCCCAACAATGAGTATGCTCGCACAAAGTTTCATGTATCAATTAATATACGTGTTTTAACGTGAAGATATTTAGTGGGTGATGAAGCACATCGTTAGGCAACCAGTGGGCCTTGTTTTATCCTTTGGGGTAACCCTAAAAGATTCTTTGAGGAGAGGAGGTTTGGGGACTTTTATTAGCTTTCCAACTATTTAACTAATGTGGCCTCATCAATCCCCCCAGTTGAGAGACAAGGGTTTACTGGCCCTACACTTGGCGACATCTAATGTAGCACATCATTAGGATATGATGAGCCCTTGAGGTATTGCCCATACACAAGGTGAAATTCAAAAGGCACCTCGAAGACAAGAACTTAGAGGCTCCTGGAAGGCCTTGTCTCTTTAGCTCTCTAGATGTGGAATGTATATGACCTCCTCAGCAGATATATTGGAATTGAATATGAATTATTATAAATTTCTGCTCAGGTATTTCAGAATGAATGTGACAAACCGTAACCTCTAGAAAAGAGTGTGGTGCTACTTAGTGGAAACAGCAAATTAGAGGACTTAGATGGACTTGATGACCTTTGGATGATACAGATAAAGCAAAATGCTTAATTATCCCCTTTCCCCTAGGATCAGTAATTTCATGATGTTTTTGACCTTGTTGAAACCTTTGAGAATATTGACAGGTAACTCACATGACAACACTCCTTTTAATGCAATTTAAGATCGCCAAGTCATTGTGTCCTTCAATGTATGGCAATTACTAGACCTAACGTCTCATATGGAGAACAAGTCGTGTCAGGTCATAGACCAATCCACTCAAAACCATTTATCCATGGCAAAGAATGCTTTGCCACCTTAAATACACGACTTGTCATGGCCTTCTTTTTGTGTGGTTCTCCTCTTGTTCTACATGTGTTCTCATTAGCGGATTAAACCATGTAGAGAAATGCAATTTATTTGTTTTACCACATCTCCGGTGATTAGCAAACTTGATTATGGTACATTTTTGTGAAATGTGGTTAAAAGAGAGGGATTTTCTAAGTCTAGAAATACATTATTTTAGTTGCTTTCCATATGCATATATATAAGCAACAAAATTGAGACATGGATAATGCTATTGAACAACACCATCAATGCATTTTCCTTGCACCTTAGTCTTGTAAGAAGAACCTTTTTTTTTAAATCAATAAATTACCTCATGTTCTTGTAGGTGACTAAAGTTTTATAGTCTGATTTTAACGAGGCTTTGATGGTTTTTTTTCCCTTCTGTGACTACTTTTTTTAGTGCACAAGTATGGAATTGTGGACTTGTCTTAAAATACGAAGATACCATGAGGCTTTGCCATTCCTATGCATATGCTTCTATTATCTTCTTTACTGATTCTTAAAATTGTTTCTTGTGTAAGGTTTTATCAGAGATTTAGGAATCATGAATGTAATTTTTTTCTCTCAAAAAATTGGTGGTTCATTTCAGCACCTTATTCTGTATATATCTAACATCTCTGTGCCAGAGTATAGGGTGGCCCTCCTTAAAAGCTGATGTTAGCAAAAGGAAGAAAGGTTGCTGGGAGAGGTGAACCGATGGCTGCTCATTATGCTTTCAATCCACATGAAGATGATGTCATAATTAAACATAGGCTTCTTACCCGCACTACAACCACCAGAGGCGAACCACCACTAAAGAAGTTGCAGAAGAAGTTCATGTCCTTTGCACATGAAATAGAGAAGGACACAGATAATCTTAATGAGTGCGAGAGACTGTACAAAGCATTCTTACAAGAAATATCTACTTTTGAGTTACCACTTCTGAAAAGCAAAGCAGTTGTCGATGCTAATCTCCGAGAGAAGGAGGGTTTCAATGAGCTGCAATTAGAAATCCAGCGGCAAATAATTCAGGCCCAAGTCGATATAGAGGATCTAAAGAAACAGCTTGAGCAGAGCAAGATCGAGAGACAACACAAGGAGGAGTGTGAGGCAATTAGAAAGTTAATTGCTTCACAGCCTCCAAGATCAGAAACACAGAAAACTATATCGGATCTTGAGAAAGAGATTGCTGCTTTGGAGGCAGAAAATGCTTCCTGTGTGAGGACACTGGATCTTCGGAAGAAACAGTTCTCTCTTCTGCTGCATGTGGTGAGTGTTTGTTCCATTTTTTCCTTATTAAGTGCTGAGTTGGTTGAATCTAGTAGATGCTACAATGTCTGCTTGCTGATGGTATGTATTGTTGAGTTTACTATAAAAGAGAAGTTAATAGTCCATAGCAACATCATGCTTGAAATTATTAATATCATCTTAAAAAAAATTCATACAGATGCTGCAAAATGACAATTAATTTTTTGAACTATTTGAAGTAATTGCATTTTTTTATGTTTGCAAAGCCAGACATCTTTAAGATCTACCTGTTCATAATATAACCTTTAGAGTTTTTGATTGTATAATCTTTGGATTGTTCTGGTGCTAATTGCCTTCATAAAAAAGTGACATAGTGCATGAAACTTTCATCAATCTTGGATTTGGGGAGGAGAGTCAAGGTATGCAGTCCCACAAATGGAAAGACTCTTTTCATGATCTTAATCCTGATCATCCAAATCGCAAAGGAGCAGCATTACTGTTGTTTTTTTTCAAATCATGAATCAATTTTTAAAAAAAATTGAACTCTGAATATTTGAAAATTAGATTGTTTGGTGCTACTGAACTATGAAGCTCATCTTCTGAACAATGCTACTGTGCAGGTTGACGAATTGCAGAACACAATTGAGGATGAACAGAAGGGCTCAGTAGAGGAGCTGCGGGCCGTCATTGAAGAGCAGAAGACTAGCATGGAGGATGGCAGTGGCATGGGTTCAGAAGCTATGGCCATTGACTAATTAGTGAGATGCTGAGTTCTTCCGTTGGTGGTCCGGTATGTATTGAGACACTGAGTTCACAACTGATGGTGGTGTGATGCTGAGTTCTACCTTTGCACTTGTGAAACTAAACTGCAATCTGAGAAAAGAGCTAAATGCATCAGGATGTATTCAAAACATAAGTTGAATTATCTTTTCCGAGAAGATACCAGTGAGCAATGTCAAGTATAATGTCACATGGAGCTCTTCAACAAAATGTGCATGAAGGCTTTGATCCCAACGGGTCTAGACTTGTTTGCACATATGTCATCGGAGAAGCATTCAGGATTTTGAAAGAGTCCGGAAGAAAATGTCAAATTTACTAAATACTAATCTTTAGTTCATCTTAGACATTAATTTTTTTCCTTTAGTACAGTGTATAATTAATGAAATGTATTACCAAAACGTAGACACTTTTAGAATCAATCTTAGAGGTTAACTATTTCCTAGGACTAACTCGAGATCCAACGCAGAAGGAAGCATGCGCCGCGTGCGAGCGCATGCGCGCTTCTGCCTCTGTGGTGCCGGCTCAACAATAGAAGCATCATGATGGGATCATATGATCGTGCTGTACACTGCTGTGTAATCCCTGAAAACATCATGATGGAATGTGATAATTATGCTTGCCGACAAGATGAAGTCTCTTATCCAAATCCACACCGATCGGTGTAGAAGAAGAAGAAGAAGAGGCTGATGCCGGTATTTTCATGAACTGACGGGACCTGCTGCTTAATCTCTGAAAGCGCCAACGCCTGGGGAAGCACTTGGGGCACGGTGGGTCACATCCACCGAGGAAGCAACGCACCACGATGTGAGTTGGGTCAATCATGCCTCTGCTAGTGGGCGATGGCGAGTATGAAGGCAGATATCTATCTATGCACATCTGCACAAACTCGAATGCCAATTATGTCGCTCTATAGTGGTGATTCTTCATACGAATTAGAGAATGACAAGTGAGAAGGGTCCCCAGGAAGAATTTTAATGCGTTTCAGCTTGATGTTGTTGAGGGGTGGGAGAGTCGAAAGATGCATTTTTTTTGCTTAGTCGTCACTTTGTTGGTGGGTTTCTTGCCACCAGTGGCACTGTAGCTGTGCAAAGGAGCGTGATTCCTGTTGCTACATATTATGCTGTTTATAGAAGAAATGAGAAGGTCATTCCCAATCTCAAATGGAAGTTTAACTGCGATCATAACACAATATTTCTCTATTTGAACACCAACATAGATAGCCTGATCAACCTGTAAGTAAATCTATTCTCCTGTAACGACTGAAGGTAGAAAAATAGACGATGGTGATGTCATCGCATCCCGGTCTGTTTCTTGCTTCTCCTTTCCAATTTGGATTTCCTCTCTCTTTAAATATGGAAGAGATCGATCGTACCTGTTTCTGTTCCTCACACATTTGCAGCTATTTAAATGAGAGACGAAGAGTACAATGGAAGAGCAAAGAGTCTGGTCATGTTGGAACAGATTGCACCACAGTCCGTGATGGAGAATGGAAACCAAGTTGATTTCTACATGATACTAGTAGATCGATCTATCTACACAACATGACACGAAGCAGAGAGTTGTTGATTGGAATTCACTTCATCCTCACAAGGAAGATGCTCAACTCCGGGACGCCGGTGCCATCGGGGTTGATCATATACAACGCCTCGGAGTCCTTGGATCCCACCACCCTCTCGAACCGCGCTCTCATGTACGTCAACTCCCCGTCGGCTACGTCCTTCTCCGAGGCATAAGGCAAGACGCCGGCGCCCATGGAGACCCCCCTTAGCAGCTGCATGACATGCCGCTCCTCGTCGGAGGCCTGCTTCTTCTTCATCGAGTAGCCCGACTTCCGCCCGTTGCAGTACACCGCCCACATGCACTCCTCGACCAGCCTCTTCTTGTGCGTCTTCGTCTCGCTCTCGAGCGCGATCTTGACGAGCCCGGAGGCCATCTCCTTGTGGAGATAGCTGGTGAGCATGGGCAGCTCGAGAAGGAAGATGGGAGCAGACGTGGGGTTTTCCTGAATGGCCAAGCTCACCCTCCCTCTCCGGTACCCGAACAGCGTGATGGTGGCCGAATTGCCGGAGAGCAATGATTTGTTAGGCCGGCCTGCGAGCGCCGCCATCTTGCAACCAGAGGTGAACGCTGTTCTCAACTTGAACATCCGAAAGATCCCCCCGCCGGCCATCTTGGCTCTGCGTTCTGTGGAGCGCCGGAGCAGTGACACAAGCCCTGGTGTCTCCAGCAATGATTGCATTTTTGCTTCAAGAAGAGGTGGTTGTAACGGAGGAAGGAAGGGATGAAGATGTTTTCCTATCGGAAGGTGGAGACCTCAGTTAGAAGTTATATAGGGTAGAAAGAGAGAGAGAGAGGTTTGAGTGTCTTTTGGAATCCCTTTGCTTTGATCAAAGTGAGGAAGAGGCACTTCCCAAGTAGGAGATGGTGGAAGGGACAAGGTGGAGGAGGTAGGACCGGTTGGGGTTTGTGGGAAGGAAAAGGGAAGAGAAAGAGTGATGGATGGTTGGGCATGAGCATCGTTCGATCATTATTACATGAGGTTTCCATCATGAGTAACATGCTTTTCCTTCTATCTACATCCCAAAATAATTACTGAGGTAGTGCCTTTTTGTCTCAGCTCATGAGTCTCGAGAAAAGAACATCATGTTCTTCAAGTCTGCTCACAAGTATGGTGTGTGCAAGTTCAATGGCATTCAGTGGAAGGAAGAGGAGATCCATGTGGAGGTTTCTCCATCAAGTTTGTGGTGGTGCTCACATGAAGTTTTTGGAGCACTCTCTTTTCCATTTGCCAATGAATCAATGGCATAAAAATCCTGCATGCTATCATTCAAATGTTTTAGTGGACAGCAGCAACATACAGGAACTGACCAATGGCCCTAAGAATTGGGAGACAAACAATCTCAAAAGTCACTTACTTCTCTAGTGCTTCAAATTGATGACCATATTCATCAGGAACAAAGACATGAGCCACAAGTGGGTGTCCCCCCAACTTGATGTCTCAGATCACTTCATCCCAGAGAAGAATTGCAGTCCCATCGGTGGGCAACTTTTCAGGACAAATGGAGGTGAAATGAACCAAATATAGTAAAGAGAACAAGGGAAGTCAGTGAGCAGAAACATTTGAAGATGCAGATCAACAATAGATTTAAGAGCTTCAGCAGACATGATTCCACCTTTAATGATTCCTTCGTCCTTTCCGTTCCTTGAACTCTGAACATGTTGCAGACAGTATCATCCGATTGATGTTTCTATAGACTGGAAAATGGTGATTCTGCAGATTGTGTCGCAGCACTTGTGGCGGTCGATGTTAAGACTTTGATACTTAATCGGCCTGCCTAGAAAGCGGACATAAAATGTATTCTCAACTGTATACCCTTCAAGAATCATGTGTGTAGCCTCCTTAGATTGATCAGCCATGGCAGGGCTTTTATCTTTAAAGACACTTCAAGCTTCCAGATTTCTGATGTGATCTGACACAAGGATTTCTAGCTGTGTATTCCATCAGCAGTGCATCTCCACTGAATCATATCTTCTTCCACATTTAGATGCATTGAGTTGTTGAACAACCTGTAGCTCCAGATGATATCCGAAAGTGAAGGATGAACACATACTATCCTCATGGTTAACAAAGACCCGCAAGATAGATTCATACGGGCGAAGGAATAGATCAAACAGATGCAGAAATGTAGATGCTAGTTTTCTGTATTGTTGACCGGATATTTAAGTACAGAAAGTATCCCTGACATTAGCAATGCCTTTCCAAAGGCTAATCCAAGTGATTGACCTAACATCCAAGCATCACAACCCAATGTGTTTGCAAAATCTTTTGGGAACTCACAAAAAGAATCAAATTCTTTTAGAATATAATCGAAGCAATGAACCTTCTAAAAGAGCATCTAAACGACTCTTGTAGCACTGAGCTACATGAATATCAACTCAATTCTATCTTTGCTTTATCACCTTGTGAATGAGGTTGATGTTGGGAAGAGTATGAGTTTATTTCAAGGTGCCAATTGATGATACATGGATGAGATGATACTATAGTTAACAAAATAAAAACAGAGAATTAATGAGCATTCTCATCTATTACCATAATGGTCTCCAAAAGATGGACAGGTTGTAAGAGTAGTAAAGTGAAGAGACAACAGCACAGTGTGTTTATGCAAACAAGAACTTGCACCATACCACATGAGTTAGGTTTCTCACCACAATGACTGCTCATCTAAAAGACATCTAAAGTCAACCTTTCGACAAGGAATGGCTTAATTCATGATCTGTAACAATTTATTCAAAATGTATTTTTTTTTTTTTAAAAATTTCAGAGAAAGATGTCATCCAGAAGTTCTATCACCTCCAAATGCATTGTTGAGCACCCCGATTTCATGAAGATGGCTTATGTCACCCCATGTTTTGATGGTCCAATTGCCACTCTCAGAAATCAGGAACACATTGACCGAGGTATTATGTATCCTCCCATCTGACGACCGTCCAGAAACTGCATGTTTGTGAAGTTCTCTCAAAACTCCACCATGGGTCAGTACAATCACTCTTTCCCCTGAGACGTCATTAACAGCGATAAGCAACTTTCCCAAAATCAAATAATCTCTAGAAAAGAAAATACTGTGGAATATATATCGTGATTTTAATATTTGAATTAAAACAATGGCCCCAACATCTGTTAGATGGTGCAACATGGTTATGCAAAAGCTGTTCTATTTGAACACATTCTGTGGAAGCAAGTTTTTCCCGCTTCCACTGAATGTGCAAATTACTCATGCATCTCCCAAGGAACATGAGGCTACAGAAACCATACATGGAAGCATGAAAGATACACGTGACATGATGGTCGAAGTAAATAATATGTGATTGATGGTTTTTTCAGAATCTTCCAAACACAATGATGAAAATGATTTCTCAACAGCAGGTTGCTAGGCAGTCCAAAGAAATGGACCAAAAGTTACATATTTTAACATTGAAATGGCAGTTACAGATTTTAACAATGAAATGGGTTGGACTATGATCGTAAAATAGCATGTTGAAAATATTATAAATATATGCAAATTATTGTCTCTAATAAGTCATGTATTCAGACATTAAAAGGTATAGCTTTCATGTTAAAGAAACTATACCTTGGTGCTTACTAGCTATTTTCTCCAAGCAAGAAACACATCGTTCATTAAGTTGATCAAGACTTTCTCCACCACCCTGAATATAACAAAATAACAGTAAAGAATGAGAAAATGAAAGTCATTTGTGATTTATAATAAAATAAAGAACAGAAAAGCCAAATATAATCATCAAAATCTCATTCCCAGTATCATACTTCATTTTATTGATATATTATATCACTGTGATCAGTATTGCCAGACCAATTAATCAAATCTAATCTAATCCCAAACTTTTCAAATGGCCAATCTTAATTTCTATCTCAAGTTAAAACTTAAGATGATGGTATCACTTCCAACTTTTTTTCGAATTCTATATAATGACTAATAAACAAGCAAGAACATGGCATGAAACCCTAGTAATTGAACAAGATGTAGATGACAATTATTTTAGAATGGGAGAATAATGCTTTTAGTGGCTGATGGAACCATACTGGAATTTCTCCATCTCTTTTGCCTGATAAGAAAATCTTGTAAGCTTCAGGCTTTAGCTTTGCAGCATCACGTAATGTTAAACCCTGAATGTCCCCCAGATGCCTTTCTCTCATTCCTGGATCCAGTATTACCTAAAGTACACAAGAAATCAATTGTTAAAAATAAGAATACTAAAATAATAAAGGCAAATATTGTGGTAACGATCAAAATGTTGCAGACAATCAGTAGATCAAAGTCCTCTGACTATATATAGGTTACGAAATTTCATGCCATGTTCTACTAGTATCTATTCAACTATAATCATAAAGCCCAGCCAAGGTTCCCATGATATATTATATAATTTCCCGATAATGCATGTATTGTCAGTCCACTTATTTGGTTCAATAAGCTTAAACTGTAAGATTCTTGCCGAGTTCTAAATCTTCATAGTAGGTAGCATACTGGTTAAACTTGATACTGGCTGAAATTTAACATCATATTAACATGAGTTTGTGACAAGCCAAGAAGAGCCAACTGTCTTCAAATTTTGAGGGGTAATATATACGTTAACAGAGACAGCAGTCTTTTTCCATACACATCCCCTAGAGGAGGTATGAAAAAACTTTAGCAAGCCTGTCAAAGGATAATCTACTATAAGATTTAGAAGATTAACTTTTTTGGAGAAAAATCTAACTTATGATTGCAAATGTAGCTAAAACCAGCTACAACTCTTTCCCTCAAAAAACACCAGCTAGGAAGTTACTAAAGATTTTTCTAAACTTGGAATAATCTAACATGAAGATATCTGAAGCTCTTACGTTCACCTCTCAGGTAGAAACGAAAAACCAGAGCCAGTAGTACTTGTTCTGTTTTTTTTTTTTTTTGTCTGAAAGGTTCCAAAAAAAATTCAATTAATTTTTTAATGCATTTATGTGCCAAGTATATCACAATACTCATTTGATAACAAGTCCAACTAGGTACAGTTGCAAGTTCAGTGTGAGACATACCTCTGGTAAGTTACAAACTTTTGCTATAATGTTTGCAGTTTCAGCAGCTCGCTTCAAGTCGGACGAGTAGATAGCTTGAAATTTAGGCTCTTTGGATAGCCGACCAGCCACCTTGCAGTAATGGATAGAGCATCCCAAAATCAAAAGCACAGGAAAAGAAATCTTCCAGTGAGAGTGTAGCTTACCACAACTGCCTGTTGTCTTCCAATTTCATTTAGTTCCGAGTCCAAATGCCCCTAATAGAAGAATTAATATCACATTTTTAGTAATCTCAATAAATTTTTCATAGGTACCACGAATTATCGGAAGGAATTTATTAAACGAAGATAAGTCAAGGCAATGCATTAAATTGAACATGTACAGCCATCTTGTATTACTACAATGCTAGCGTGCCACAGCAAACAATCATTGATGTAAACACTATCACACGTTCCTAATGGATAACGAAAACATTGCCTTAACATTGTCCATTTTCCCTTTCTTTTCAAGTTCCACCAGGCTATTCAGGAATAATTTTTCACCCTAAATCAAAAGTAAGCCAGGGAGTATATAAAGTTGGAGGAAGAATTCTCAAGTATGAGTGGAAATAAATTCAGCTTTATGAACCAAAGCAAAGGAAATTACTTCCACATCCCTTTCAGAAGTCTTCCCTCAGTTTTCATAAATAAGGCCTACACATTTGAGTAATCAACTAAAAATTTACAATCCAGTATAATAACTAAACCCTCTTTCCCTCGATTATCTAAAATTGACAAGAGACTAAAGGATCTATTACCGAAAGATTACAAACAGAGATATTCACATGGACCAAGCATCAAACACATGTCGATCGACGAGTTCCCGAAAGAGTGAGAAAGGATACCTGGACGATTCTGGAGGCATTCCAGCACGTCTCACCGTGGCGAATCACGACGATCTCCGCGAAGCGACCGCGGTCGGCGGTGGAGGCCATGATCGTGGAAGGACGGGAAGGGCAAGTGAATTTGCACCTCGAGGTGGTGGTGCCTCCGGAGTCGTCCACGACGCGGTGCGTCCACTCGACGCCAAACGCAACTACAATTCCTCGTTCGCCTGTGATTTGGGGGAGACTCGAGTCGACCGATCTCCGAGAAACGGGGGCGGAGGGCCGGATGGACGGCTAGAGATGGTTTCGATCACAAATCTGGAAGCAAAGCTTTTGGCGGATGCCAATTACCCCGTGGCGGACTTGACGAGAAGGTCAGGCTTAGCCACTTGCTTCCGACAACCGAGTCTTAATGAGCTCATCGATATTTGATGTCAAGTCGACAAGTTAATTCCTACCAATATAAACAGACCAAATATTAATCAAAATTTATGCAGGAAAATTAATGGTAAAAGTAATATTAATGATAAAAAATTAATTATTAAAAATAATAATAAAGGATAAGTGATAAAAGATAAAATTCAAGCTTAGAACCTTATAATAAACTATTAACTCAAATTATATTATGGTAGATTTTTATCTAAAACTGTTCATCTTAATTCATAATAATCTTAATAATGCAATTCATATTATTTTAGATTTGGAGGTATGTGTTTGATGTCTATTTTGGACATCATTGATTTATTCTCTAATCAGGTCCGATTCAAACTATATTATTGTGTCATCCCAATTTTAGACTCCGAACCGAATTCTATTTTTCTATTTTATTTTTGGCTATGCATAGTTGTTTCTTCCCGTTGTCGCAGAAATGTAATGTTCCTTCCCTAAGAATGGCATGAGCTAACATGCTCACACTTTGGCTTTCTTCCACTGTTTCACCTGAATAGGGCTGGCTGTAAACCCATTCGATTGATCTGAATCTGATTTCACAATGTGACAAACAGGCTACAAAATGAACATAGAAGCATGGACAAAATGGTGATGATCCTCTTTCTCAAGCCATTCCTTTTCTTCCAAACTTTAGGACAGTAATGATTCAGATCTTCTGTTTAAACCATTTTACAAATGAAAGCAGAAAAGTGACAGAAACTACAACTGAGCAAAGACAAACACATAAGAGCCTTCAAGCTGGGTGCAATTGCAGAACACACAGAAGCTTACAGTACTGGTCCATCCTGTTCATATAAATCCACACACACTTAACAAGCATGCAATTTCTGCCAACAACAACACAGCACAGCCATACACTTGATGTTTGCTTGGAATGTGTCTCAGTTGCATGTTTTGATCAGTGAAGTTTGGTGATCAAAGGTTCAGAACCCCATACAAGGCTTACCCAGCCTAATTTTTGAGATGCATAAGAAGATGGCTTGGTCCATTGTACTGCCCACAAGTAGCTAGAAATTGAAGCATTGTTTCAAGGCCATCTGATTTGAGGTCAAGGGAAGAGTTGTATATGCAATGTAAAACTAATCTCTTCCCCACTGGATTGTCCTATCTAACCAGGCTGTACTATTGCCATGCTCATTACACCCTGTCTCACACCTCACAAATTCTTGAATCAGCTCAAAGTGGCACACTCGAGAACCCCACACTTGATTGCTCCACAATAAGGCCATAGAGATAGAAACAATAAGTCCAAATACCAATGTTTCCCAGTTATACTCAATAAGTCAATTGATGCCTTTCTAACTGATAAAGACCTTGTATGATCTCTCAAGTGATAATGAAGTAGCAATCATACCGGTTTGATTTTGCCAAGAGGTGAGAGAGGGAGGAGGCAAATCATGTCAGTTTTGTGTAAACTGATCACTTACCTATAATAATCAAGGCAGCTATAATTGGAAGGACCACATCTAAATAACTACATGATAGATGTTTGCATTCACCAACCTAGTACTCATAACACTTTCCTCATCATCTGGTATTTAAGATGAAAAGAGAGAGCTGTTCTAACAGTTTTTGTGTTTCTAGTTTCAAATACAGGTAAGACCAGTACATGCCAATTGGTATTTCCAGATCCAGCCAAGCATCAATATTAAGGTTTATAGTTGATTCTCACACATATGTTCTTCATTTTTATTTTTTTCTTAATTTATGTAATAATACCTGATCAGCACACCGGTGCCAGGTCCGATTGGCTATCATAACTAATATCAAACATGTACTAAAGGTCTTGCTTTTATTAGTTTCTCAATCTGCATGTCTAATCACCGCCACAAGATTTAAATTGATTATAATGTTTAAAAAAAAAGATTAATTACAAAATAACATAAAGCATTAATGTTTTTCCAAAAATGTATTTTATCACTTAAAGGTCAAATATGCCATCAAAACTTGAGTGTCATAAAATGCAATTTTAAGTACACGTTTTATGAATAAATTTGCATTATCTTAACATTTCATCTATAACTGAAATCAATGGAACATATTAGGAATGTGAACATCTTGTTAGTCGAAAGATAATTGATCTGAAACATTTCTGCCAACAAAAACTGAGCACACACATCTCAGTGTTATACTCTTTATGAGACAAATAAAGACGCACAAATAGATTAAAGCCAGTAGAAGATCAGAAAAACAACTGGTTATTTTAAAACTTTCTCTTTTATTTTTTCTTTTAAAGATGTGTACATACAATCAGACTTTAAAATTTCATGGACCACCATGTGCTATGAGGTAGGAGAGAGAGTCGTGTGCGGTGCCAAAAGGTACCTGAATTTGAATTCATATGTCAGAAATTGTATTGTCTGTGGAATGACACTTCTTCTGCCCAACTCAAGGCATTTAACTGCTTCGGTCCTCAATTCACTTGGTAGTTGTAGGCAGACCCAGGCCATTAGTGACTCCACATCCTTCGCAAAATCAAGTAGGTACCAATCGAGTAGCTTAGGAATTACCAACTTATTTGGTTTCAATATACCAATTGTCGCTTGCAAATAGTCCCTTTTGGCTGTTTCCAGTTCCTCCTCAACTTGTGCTGCTGTATATACTCTCACCTTAAGAAAGACAATCAAAAGTGTCAGTAACATTATGGCAGCAATAGGAGGGAAATAAGTTGTTTCAGTACTAGTATAGACCTAAGGTTAAGACGGTTCTGTATCGAGGGATTTCAGTATTATTGATCTAGTGTAGATACTAGATATCTCCTCAAGGTTTTACCCTCTTTAATGTCTTTTATGATCTTAGATTAAACATGTTATGAGAAATTGTCCATATTCAGCATTGAATTACAAGTACATGGGGCCACAGAGGCCATCAAAGACAATATATACCATACAAAACTAACTAGAGTCCCTTGAGCTGTTATGCTTGTGCGAATATTGCATGGGAGATTTGACAACCACTTACCCATATTGTGAGTACGATGTCGATCTGATTTTGACTATGCTTTTGTTCATATAACACAGGTAAACATGTAAACCATACAACAACCAAGCATGAATAAGCAAACCTACAGCTGGGGAGGACCAACTTCCACATGAGAGAGCAAATGTGACAAGAGGTTCAGGCCACTCCATTCCAAAGATGCCTCGTATTATCATGGTATCGCTTTTTAGTCCTTTCGGGGAGAGCTTTATGTAAATGAAAAGGTCATTTCCTCAATTGAGTGAAAATCAAGTTTCCAAAACTTCAAAATGAGAAAGACTTACATTTTTCATGTGACAAGGCAATCTCAATATAAAATGTTCTATTGTCATAGCACTAAGTAAATGGCCACCCACATTTATAACTGCCTGAAATGAAAAGGTGAAATTTGTAGAGTTATTCACTGTGTGTAGGTAATCTACATTTTAGTTTCTTGCATATGTACTCCATCTCTAAATTTCAGAAGTAAAAGATGAAAAGGCAGTGAAGATCATACATACTTTTGGCATCATCGCAGCAATCATCTCAGGATTTTTAGGTATTCCTTGCTCCAGATATGCCTAGGATTGAATAATATTAAAAGAAAATTACAAACGAGATCTAAGTTGCAAAATTGTTGCTTGATTCAAAAATGTGTATTGGACTAAAAATATTTCCTTTAGAAGCCCAAAAGGGCATTTTCTTTTGAAGGACGAACATAACAAGGAAGAAACTCTAACAAGAGAGAAAATTAATCATATTACTTGATTATGGAAAAACGTAACTCAAGCAATTTAGTGTAGTTTCAAACTATATATAGTTTGATTTGCAATTATCAGAAGCAACATGTACTGGCCTATAGTTCGATAACTTAAATATCAGAAACAGTAGATGCCCATTGGTAGACTAAAGGATTTCGGTTAGCAACTTACATTCATCATGCATGAATTATAGATGTTGATCCAGAAAGCAAGCTTCTGTTGATGTGTAAGCTCTGATATATCAACCGATTCAAGCTTTCTGAGTAAAACCCTGAAGTTCAGCAGAAAGAAATAGTAAGTACCGTAGGCAACATAAAGATCATAAACCAAAGTAAAATTATAAAGCTTACTTTAGCCTGCACTTTAGAGATGATGAAGCCATAAGAAAATTTTGACTCTTTGAGATCACTTCTACTGATCGAAAATGTTTATATGGGCCAATGTCCCTCTTGCCAAACTCAGCACAGATACCATAAGGATCTTGGGAGTCTCTCTCTCCAGAACTCTCACAAGAATCTGAACTCGAAGGAGATGTCTCCATGTCATTTTCTGTGTTCTTTGGGGAACTTATTCGTAAAAAAATGTTCATCAGGCACTTCAAGATATCCTCAGATAATTTGTTTGGAACAGTAGACTTGTCTAGCGAGGCTTCATCTGAAGCATCCCACAAGATCATTTCATCTGTATTTCTATCCTTCACCACACATTCTGCCTGGATAAATGACGATATTATGATTAACATGTACATGAGACTAACGAAATACTTTTGAAATACCTTAGTGCATGAAACTTAGAAATGGACAAAGCCATTTACCTCTGCATCAGCACGTTGGTCCTCCGATACAGTCACTTGTGTTTTCAAGACTTTCTTTACTGGAGATTGCTTTTGGTTCCTACTAAAGTTAGTGATCCATTGATTCTCTTTCCCTCGCCGATCTTCAGAAGAGTTCAAAGAAGTATTCTGCTTGTTAAGTCTCCTTTTGCCATTAGCAGACTGATTAGAGGAAGGCCCAGATAGTTCTGCATCAAGGAGTATCTCACCGAGACTAAAGGTTTCATGGAGACTAAAGATTGACAAGTCGGCAAATCAGCAGGAAGCTTCAGTTGTTCAATAGTTTTGGAACTTTGAGAACAGCCTCCATCCGAGTCTGTATCGGGCACAATTTC